CACCCCGGCAATCCCTCCCTACACCTCCATGCACATCTCGAAAGGGCCTGTAGCTGAAACACTCATCTCCAACATCGCGGCTTTCACTTGTGACGTTGACCTCAGTGTGCCAGATCCTGCATCCTCCGGACCCATAGTCAAGACCGCGGCAGCCAGGAACTGCGATGCAATGAAGTTTGCATTCATCCAGACTTACATCAGGGTAAACGGAAATGATTGGAGAAACTCCTCCACATGTCCCATGACCCAAAGAGACGAACGCATTACTGTCTTCGAATTGGTCATGAGTTCCTAGTCGAAGGCAAAGGCTTCCACTCTTGTCAGAAGTCATTTGGATGCCTCCCCTCCTTGACCAAACAAGGCAAGTCTTGACGCCTGCGCTGAGGTCATACTCAATTCCTTTGCAGGGAACCGCCGATTGAAGACACAGCGCTTTGCATTCCTCCAAAGACAGCTCGGCATCGCTGGAGACGTGCCGAGTGTAGTAGCTGGGCCAACTATCATCCGCCAACATACCCCTACAGGCCCTGTCCATTCCACCGTCAACAGCTATGAAAGGTTTGTAGCTCAGACATGACATGTTGACATTTACATAAGTCCCCTGGACGCGGGACCTCCAAATGTGGCAGTTGGTGTCATCATATTCCACTCCCTGACAGCCAACACTTTCCACGCAGGCTGATCTGCACTGCTCTCCAATGGAGTCGCCAGGAAACTGCACCGAAGTTGTGTCAACTGGATCGGCCCCAAAACAGCCATGTTCGACGCCACCATCAATTCCGACAAACGCCGAATAACGCAGGCAAGTTGTTCCTGTAAATCCAATCGAAGTTGTGACAGGGGAAGTCCACACCTTGCATCCATATGCGTTCAATTCAATGCCTTGGCATGTGGCATGTCCTAAACATCTCGACTTGCATTCTTCGATGGATTTGCTTTCCCCAAAGAATTCAAAATATGATGAGCTCCAATCTGAAGTGTTCATGCCACGGCATGCACGGTCATTGCCTCCATCTATTCTCTCGAAGGCATCGCCTGCATGGCCTCTCTCCCCAAAACGTAAGCACATAGCACCAGAACGAGGAATAGTTCTTTCAATGCCTGACACTCGTGTCCAAACATGGCAATGGGTATCGGCAAATTCAATTCCTTTACAAAATGGAGCATTCTCCGCACAAATGGCCTTGCAGGCTTGTAGCGACATATTCAAGTAACTAGTGTAGAAGTCGGCATCATTGTCATAACTGCGACTACTACATCCTCTGTCAACAGCATCCAGCAGAACAAACGGTGCAAGGGGTTGACAAACCGCTCCACTCAGTTCCACAGACGCTCCAATTCCTTCCGTCCGAGTCCAAAGCTCACAGCGGTTCCCAGCAAACTCGATTCCTTGGCAAACACGACCACCAACACGACCACCAACACGACGCTCCCAGTTGCGCTGCAAGCAAAGATCCTGACAGGCAGCCAAGGAATCAGCACTTGTGATCTCGTAGTAAGCTGGATTGTTGTCAAACTCGTCCTTTCCCCTACATGCACGATTCTCACCTGCAGAAACAAAAGGAACATAGCGCAAGCAAACTGGCCCCAGAGTGACGGCAGTGGCTTGAATACCACCAGTCCGCACCCAAACTTCACAGCGGCCTGGTCGAAACTCTATCCCTCGACAGCCTGGAGTGCCCACACAAGCATTTTTGCATGACTCGAGGCTATCAGAAGCTCCTCCCCGCACGATGTAATAGGATCCATCGTCATCCGATGCATCAATACCACGGCAAACTCGGTCGTAGGCTCCGTCCACCGGCACGAAGGAATCTGTGATCGGATAGACATTAGCAACTTCTGCAAGTTTGCGTTGAACAAAAGCCAACCCGGAATCTCCTCGCCTAGCACCGGTCAAAATCACTGAATCAGAAAGACTTAGGGTGGTCTAAATGGCCTACATGCCACCCCTCATACCGCCTCAAGACCCTCGAACAACTCTTTGAGAAAGGACCCTGGATACTTTGCCGTTCTTTTGTTTTCACTTGCAAGGGGGTTTTCGCAGCGAGGAGAAGTCAAAAGCAAGCCCTTATGCAAGCCGAACGTAGCATGGGGGTAGTTCGGCATTCCTGAATCAAACCCAGACACCGTCCAGAGAAGTTTGATGCTGGAGGCTCTGCACTTAGCAATTTCAATTCTTGCCCTTGTGTAAACGCCGCGAAGCAAGTCCATAAGCTCACCTGCAAAGCAACTCAAAATAGTTCTTCAATTGTTCCCAAAATTCATGTAAAGATCCGTCGTGGCAAGTGAGGACCGACACTGAGCGCATGTCTGTTGTGTATCTGCTCCTTTCAAGTGCAACCGCGACTCATTGCTCAGACAAGTGGCACTCTTCAAGATCATCATGAGCTTCGGCCAGCCGAATTCTGTCAACTCAAAAGGTGGGGAATGAATTGAAAGCAACTTGCGTTCTTCAAATCAAACCAACTTGTCACGAATTAATTCCGAACATGAAAGCAGGATCATTGTGAAAACTTGCATGGAGCTGTACATGGCATTTCCGCATGTTTTCTTTCAAACCAGGCAATATTGCATGGTTTCCCGTGGCGTGTTGCATTTCATGTCAGCTTCTACCTGTCTGTGGGCATTCAGTCTGGCCAAAATGCATCAGGATGAACATCAATATGCAGTCTCTATTGTTCAGGCAAACAAAACAAAATCATGTCTCCACACCGAACCCACCGAACCCTGGCGGCCGCATATTGAAACACAACATCTACTAAATTTACAAAATTGTTCCATGCAACAAATCCCACCACTGCGTTTATGTGCATTCGGAATTGTGAATATCCACAAGTGGCGAAGTCGGCGAAGTCTTGAAGGGTGAGCTCATTGCTGGAACTCTCCCAAGAGTTTCAAGCGCCCTTTCATTGCTGTGGAAAATTTGAATTAAGGGCCATTACTACTAGGAGCAAGGACGCTACTATATAGGGGCTCCTGGCATCGCTA